AGTCCCGCCATATGGAAATGTAACACAACCCAACATTCAAACAATAGAGATTAAAAATGAAATGATAACTAGAAGAAGAATTAGGGCTCTATTAAGGCAATGCCACGCAGCCCGGCATGCGCCGGTATATGCTGCTGTTAGTGACAGTAAGGGCTGTGCCTTAGAGCCTTGGTTAATGCTACTACTCACAGATCCTTGATCCTATAAGAAAGCTCCTCCCAAAGGGAAAGCTCGAAGTATCAGTTGACCCTCAAGAGTTTCTGACGGCTCGAGCTCTAAAAGGGAAGGTCAATGCTTGCTTCAGCAGGATTGCAGCAGCATCTAATACCCTCAGATGCGTGGGAGCTGGAGGAAAGGACCTCTAGCAGTAACAGCAGCAGTGACAAGAGGTTAGTGTTGTGTGCAAAACATAGAAATGCCCCAGAAGTTTCAGGACATAACTGAAAATCTTTAACTGTATCTGTCTTAGTTATTGTATGGTGGGAGTATCTTGGCAAAGAAGATACCCTTTGAATAGTGTAGATACCAATGGAGATTAAACGATGCATAGGGATCTCCTAGAATAGTAACTCACACGAGTGTGCTTTTCATAGCACACATCCCTTTTCTACAGCCTACATTCTATTTTCTTGCTGTAATTTATGTCTTTATTTGTATATTTATGTATTTATTTTTTGTGCCTGTCCTGGGGCATCAATTTAGGACACGGGCACTGTCCCTGAGTTTTTCACTCAAGGCTAGTGCTCTACCACTTGAGCCACAGCTCCACTTTCAGAATTTTGTGTGTGTGTGATTAATTGGAGATAAGAGGCTCGTGGACTTTTCTGGATGGCCTCAAACCTTGATCCTCACATCTCAGCTTCCTGAGGAGCTAGGATTACAGATGAGAGCCATCTGGAGCCTGGCTTGTAATGTGTTCTTTAGGACATAGTCTTTCTGAGTGACGGAGAAATATTCCTATACATAATAGAAAGTAGTTGTATTGCTAAGGAAAAAACTCAGTGCAGGTGGTCTTGGGTTTGGGAATTTCACCCTAATTCCAAGTAACTACAGCCATGGGACTTTGGGCGTCTGAATATTTTTGTTAAGCCTTGGGAGGATTTAGCATTTCTGTGAGATGACCTCTACTGGATCCTCAATCCTGCTTTTATTTACACTAAAGGACCCATTTTGCTAACCTGTTGGATTTCATTATTTGCATAAGTGTTTACTTTTTTTTTTCTTCTGGGATTTGAACCCAGGACTTCGGGCTTGCCCAAAAGGCATTCTACCACTGAGTCAAAGCTCCGGCTTAAGTTTAAACTTTTTGTTGATCTAGTGTTCCGACAAACCTGCTATTTTGTCAGTGTGTAAGGTATTAAATGTGTTGTCTGAATTGACCAAAGACTTAGAATGGTAGTACTACAGCAGGATGGATTTTTATCTGGTTGGGTTATATTCTTGTCTCCTAATAAGAGTATTCATCAGAACAGATACTCCCGATCTAAGTGTCAAGGAGAGGCAGAAATTGATCAAGGATAGTATTGAAAGCAAATTAAAAGACAAGCTGGCAATTTTCTAAAGCTATAAATTGTCTTAGAGATTAATAGTAAGTAGATATTATCTATTTGTTTTTCTGGTTTCTTCATCTAATCATTTTGGAAAATTCAGACACTTTTTATTTTCTTGCCTCTCAATCTTCTCTAACTTCATCTCACATGGCAAAAGATATTTCTCTTTTTTTCAACCATACTTTTAAGCAAGCAAGTATATTAGTGATATGTGTGTCATCATGTGTAAGATAAAAGCAAAATTATATTAGTTTGCTACCCTCTTTACAAAGTGGTTTTGCATCCTGAAGGTTGTAATTCAAGGTTAGGCTCAGGAACAACTAAGATATGTATATAATTACAATTCTAAGTAACTGGGACATATATTTTCTATAGGCTTCAGTGAGCAACAAATTATGCTGTAAGTGTGTGTCATACTGACTGAATAGTTCTTGTTACAAATACACTTGTATTTTGAAATTACTGTTTAGGTGACTTATGTTGCTTAGAGTGTTGAAAATAGAACAGTTTTACTACAAGATATTATAAGCCTGATAAACAGTTTTTGTTTACATTGTCCATTCTTGGCTATTCATCTTGTAAAATCTGTAGTTTTGCTAATAATTTTCAGCTTTTGCTCCTTCTGCCTATAATCTTTTTCAATCTCTTTGATTATATAATATGGATGCAACATAACTGAATTGTATAAGCTTTCTCAGCAGGAAGATGGCAGTAAAAATCAAGAGGTAGAGTCTATTTGAGCCATCATGAATTCCACTCCTTTCTGGTGCACCCTTTGTCTTCCTTTTCCCTCCCTCCCTCTCTCCCTACTTCCTTCCTTCCTTTCTTCCTTCTTTCCTTCCTTCCTTTTACCCCGCTCCTTCCTTTCCTCCTTTTCTTGTTCCCTCCTTCCTTCACTTCCTCCTTCCCTCCCTCCCTTCCTGTCTCATTTTCTTTTCCTTTCTCTCTTTCAAGAGGCATGCCCTTAACATCTTTTGTAGTTGTTAACATGAACCAGATTCTACTTTAAGGCAGCAAACCCATTATTCTAAAGAAATCGATACTCAAAAATCAATGACTTACTAGTTTTAGTCACCTATATAATCAATTTGATTTGTTTCCTCTCAAGCTATCAGTAATTTTAGTGAGTAAGCTTAAAAATGAGAAAAGACCTCTGTCTGTTATAACCTGCCTGTTCTCAACATGCAGCACAGTAAGTATATTTGGGAATGAGGTGCTTTGGCATGGAAGATTTCCTTTCCAGTTGGTCAGGGATCCCTTTTCTCTTTTCCTAACTTCTGAACTGCAGAACAGGAAGTATTAAAGCATTGGCCAACACAATGTTGTCAGATCAGGAATGGTAGAGGTGTACATTAGGATTATTGTCTTCTCAACTGACTATCTCAAAATCATCTCCCAATGCTTTGGGATTGATAGGGAAACCTGATGTAAGAAAAAAGACTGGGAAGTCCTACATCTGGCTTTCTATCTCTCCCACAAAAGACTAACAAAACTGATGTGAAGACCTGGAGTTTGGTTATGTCCTGACTTTGCCTTTCCTTGAAGTTATTTTGTGAGGCCAGTGAGGGCCTCTGTTTTGATTAATGATGATCATCCTATAAAATCTGGATATCATGATATGTCATATGTTTTTGACCAAAAAAAAATTAGGCTTTGAAAGACATTTCACATTAGATACTCTCAATGTATTTAAAATACACTTAAAAGTCACTTCTGGGAAATCTACTAAATATGTCAATTATTTAATCATTAATTGTCAAAGCCTATAAAATAGTGTTATCATGTCACCATGACATAAAGCAACACCAAAATTAGTGCATTATCTATAAAATGAAGTATCATTTGCCTTCAAGTGACAAATTCTATGTCAAAAAAATACCACTGTACTTCTAATAAGTGACACTCATTTTAATAGATCCTACAAAAATACAATATTTTCATTGTCCCCATAAAACATTAACTTACAAATATTATTCTCAGAGCTCCAGTACAACAAGATGTGACTTGGTTGTAAAATCTTAGTGGAATATTTGAAATACTAGTATCTAAAGTAAATTCATTGTATAAAAACAGCTATGTAGAAATAAGAGAGAGAATGCATACTACTAATTCTGGGAAATTATTCTGGAAATTCAAAGCAATTTTTAATCAAATTAATGAGTAATATAAAGAGAAATATTTTAAAGGATTTTAAAATGATTTTTTAAAATTTATAGAGTTAAATAGGCCTAATGTAAAAGGAAATAATTCTATCTTACCTATGTTTATTTTAGTGAGACAGAATTCAGAGTTTTATATGTGTTGTAAAGTTTTTGGAAAAAAGTATTTAATTAATTTCTGTCCATAAAACAATCATTGAGATTAGTAATACAGGCAGACCACAGCTCTGAGAAATTATATTTGAAGTTTCATAAATACCAAAGTTTTTAAATCACCCACCATAACTTTCTAACAGTTCTTTCTTAATAATAAACTTTATCAGTTCCCTTAAACTGATTTAAAAATAGCAAATTAAATAAAGCAGCACACAAATAAATCCTACATTTACAAGTAAAGAAATCACAGGGGCTACAATTTATAGTCAACATAAACTTGGAAGAAGGAAATCAATCATTTCCTGCCACCCATCATTCACTGCGTAAGTTTGTGGTAAGAAGACTTATCTACAATGACCTTTAGTTTGTTTCTTAACTCTGCATGTATTGTAATTAGCTAAAGCCATTGAACGCATTAGTTTGTCCTATTTTTATTCAGGTCCCAGAGATAAATGGTTAACATGAAATATTTCACTCTGCATCATGAGAATTTAGCACATGAGTATGGAACCAAATATAAACACTTTATACCATATGTACAGTTGCTTTCATAAGGCAATATCATGTAATTTTTATTGAAAAAGATTCAATATAGTAAAGTCTTATTTTAAGATAGATCTCTTTCTCAATCCGAGATGTTTAGTTTATGAAAATATTGTTTTTTTCTCTTATATTCTTTTTTTATATATGCCAACATATACCTTGTGCTAGAAATATTTTATGGGAATTACAATTCTTTATAGTCATATTTTCTATATAAAGGCATATACAACTTTGAGGCAGTGTTTCTGATGGAGAGCAGAATTTGTAAAGAGCTTGTGTGTGCTTCCGTGCTCTGAAATTATATGAAATCCACTTTGAGAAGAAACTTATTGGGTTTAAAAACAAAAACAGAACCAAAACCGCACCAATGCACAGCCAGAGGCTGACAATTAAAACTAATACATAACCACATGAACATTGTATTTATAGAGTTAACATCTGCAAGGGTGATCAGTGCTAACATAGAGTATTATACATTTGGCAATAATGTTTGCCATTGGTCCAGCAATTGGCAAAAATTTGCTTCTATGTATAAATTTATTTTTGAACATTAGCTCTGGCTAGACGTATCTTCACTATTTATAAAAAATATTTAGACAGTAAGCTCACGTTGAATAACTAGGTCTACTGTGTTCTGGAAACTCTTCAGTAGTAAAACAGCTTTTTCGTGTTCCATATGTACAAAACTGTGTCCATTTGCCTGTAAACACACAAGCCAAACAGGTTAGTCAATGCAAGCGGCCATTACTGTATCACTGTTTCCATCATAAAGTTAAGGGAGCATTGAGCCATAGGTTCCAAGTTTTGGAAACTCACAACGAAATTGCAGGCATGGAGGTAATTAATTTTAATCCTGATTTGTTAATTCAACAAGTATTTATCAAAAGCCCAATGTTGCTTCTATTGTAACTATGAAGATACAATGGCAAATCTGACACATGTAGTTTTGACATAGAAGTTAGTTTTTACTGTTATTTTGTGTGGTGTGTGTGTGTGTGTGTGTGTGTGTGTGTGTGTGTGTGTGTTTCTGGGCTCAAACCCAGGACCTTGTATCAATTAGCTACATCTCCAACCTCCAACCCTACTGTTGGGATTTGTTTTTTAAAGAAACCTTCGTTGAGATGGCTTGCATTTGTATTATGTAATTGCTGATATAAACCTATCAGCATATTGAATATTGTAATTATGTCAAACAGGACTGGAAAATTTAAATACCATTATATCTTCTTATACATTTTTATATTAAATACGTTTTTATTTCCCCCATTGGTAAATAAATATAAGGGATTTATCCCTGGAGAGAAAGCACACTGACATTAATAACATGGCATACCTGTTGTCTGCAGTCTAGAATCATCAGTGTAACAAATAAAATTTTACATTAAACATAATTAGCCTAAGGTTATCATTTCAGGATCCATGGCTATTATTTGATATTTTTTATGAAGAAACATACATTTTTTTCTGTAATGGTCATGTGTCTTTAGTTTTCTTTAAATTGCAAGTTGTCTTATTAGAATCGTTTTTATATAATTGGAGGTGGGTTCCATAGGCCTTCAATGTCATGAAAGCAAAATTGAAACTTAGTAGGAACTATTGAAACTTAGTAGGAATAAGTCTTGACAACTCAATGATTATCGAAGGCTTGGCAAAGTATGTAGTATATAAATTACAGCCAGTTAAGTGGTTGACTTTTTCAATTTTCAGTGGACTGATAAACTTATTTTGGACATGTTATTTTATTTTCACTTTTGTGTTGCAAGAAAATATGATTAATATTTCAAATAATCACTTAAAACTAAAATGTTGAGCTTGTCAACTCTCAAATAACATTACATCTTTAGCAATACTACGCAACCTTTCTAATTTAAACAGAAGTCATCTGATATTTTATCTCTAGGTCATTAAAATTGATTGGATAATGTGATAAGGAATATTTTTTAAATACTGCATTTTAAAAGCACCGAACATCTACTATTAAAAAATTCCAAGAAACCAAATAGAAACCCTTGGAAGTAATACACTCAGAGGTATAAATTCCCTTAGAATTAAGGAAAAACTATGTATTCCTTAATAACATTTAATTGATAAAAATGCTGATTCCAGTTAGCACTGGCTATCACTGGCAGGATACAGTAGTTGAGAAGAATTTGGGTATGTTATCTCATTTTTTTTTGCTTGAGTTACAATAAAAAATAAGGCAATAGGATTACATTGATATTACTTCTGTCTGGAAGGTAACAGGAAATCAAGAACATAGCATATGCCACATTCTTTATTTCTCCTCTTATTTGTGACATCAGGGAAATAGCAAGCATACATTAAATATATCCTTATTCTATTGTAGTTTTGAAGGATATACTAACTACCTTGATGTCTTCAGTGTACCCCAAAGATATATGTTTATTGTGAAATTAAATTTCACTTTAAAAAAGTAGTTCTCAAATGTCAAAACATAAGAAAGCCTTTATAAGTACTCAGATTCCTTTGGCTTCAGTCCCAAATCTAGAAAGTTCTTGAACCCAGAACCCACTGAAAAACTGCAGGGAAAGGTTCAAAGCTTAAATATCTGAGTTTTAAGTATTTAATTACTTGGTGAGAATGACTAAAATCCCGTGAGTGCAGAATTTAGTTTTCAGCATAAAAAGTGATCATAAAACAAAATCAGAGAGGCTTTATTTATGGAAGGGGTTTAGTTTAGATAACTCTTTCTTTGGAAGAAATAGATAAGAGTTCAAGATGGGAAACATGTAAACCCAACATTTCTAGAGAGATCTAGAGGTTAAGTATAGGCACAGACAGAGACAGAGGTGGAAGTGGAATATTTCCCAGTGGTAGCATCTACCACTATTTTTCTGCAGCACTAAGAAGAATCAAGCAAATGAATTAATGCTGAGCTTAACTCTGTATCTGTTTCTAAAGAGTAGGTTTGAAGATGTTGAGTACTATAGCTTACATTCTGGCTCCTGTCCAGTGAACCCTTTTTGTAAGTAAGCTTTGAATATAGCTAGTGCTTAGCTTTTTGGGGTTAGATCATTGAACATGCACCATTAGAGCAAACACCTCAGAAGGAAATAAGCAGATTAGTGAATTTGATCCTTAGTCAAATGAATATTAGGACTCTAATTCTAATCACCAGAAATTTTTTGGATATCAAATGAAGCATTGGTGAACCACAAGAGGCCTGTTTCAAAAGACCACAACCAGGAACTGGGGAATGGCTTCAAAATATTGGAATCTAGGATTTTGAGTTATTTTAGAAAGTTTATTAAAGCCTGGAAAAGTTAATACATATTAGCTGATGTTAGCTAGTGCTACTAATACTTTTTCCTTCCTTCCTTTCCTCCTTCTTTCCTTCCTTCTTTCCTTCTTTCCTTCCTTCCTTCTTTCTTTCTTTCTTCCTTTCTTTCTTTCCTTCCTTCCTTTCTTCCTTCCTTCTTTCTTTCTTTTTCTTTCAGCTTCATCTTCATCTTAGGGTATGGACATTGTCTGTGAGGTTTTATTTGCTCAAGGCTAGTTCTCTACACTTGTACACTTGACCCACAGCTCTACTTCCAGCTTTTTGGTGGCTATTTGGAGATTAAGACTCTCATAGACTTTCCTGGCCCAGCTGGCTTTGAACTACTATCCTCATATCTTAGCCTCCTGGGTAGCTAGGATTACAAGTATGAGCCACTGGCTTACAATTATCTTCTTGGACTTAAGAAATATGATTTCCATTAAGTCACATGAATAGAAGGAGAAAAGTCTGTGGAAGGAATTTTTAGTTATTTTATTGCGTTGGAAGCCATAATTTTTGGAAATGAAATTGTGAAGATCAAAGAGATACCTGAAATATCTGAGATAATACAGTGAGGGGCTGTGTAGGAACTTACATGTTGCAGCTGTCAGCTCTATCTTGGCATAGTTTGTTTCTATGGATGTTTGTTGCAAGGTTGTAACACTGATTTTAGAACCATCAAAGGAATTCAGTTTTTGATAGTAATTGATTATTCATTGATGTAAAGCACTGTGCTATGCTTGATGTCATGAGAGGGCAAAGGTAGAGTATAGAGGAAAAGGGAATGAATGAAAACAGAGATGGAAAGTCCTGGCCAACAGAACCCTCTCTTCCATACTTTCAGACAGAAGAGTGAAAAAAGTTTACACTGCACCTGTTACCATGTATATGGCTATCTGGCTTACATCTTTGATAATTCAGACAAGAAATCAAAGAATTATGCTACTATTTGTAGGACTTTTCCAATTAAAAGAAAGATCATAAAAATCCCAGCATCTCAATGAATGGTTTTGTGGTTGTTGTTATTGTTGTTGTTGTTGTTTTTAGGTGGGTGTGAGTACAAGAGGCTGAACAAATAAAAACTCATCCTCTACAGTACCAATTGCGAATGAAAATTCAATGATAATTTGAAATAGAAGGGTAGATGGCTTATTTACACATGGAACATTTTGAATAATGCACACTCTAAATACAAAAAATTACATAAAGATGATGATAAATGAATGAAAATGTAAAATGTTAACAAATTCAGTTACATATATATCTTATGTAAACACACTATCAGATTAAAATAAAATGTGTGCAATTTGGAGGAAACTGTAAGTGAATAAAAATCAAGAAACAAATGGGTGGCTTATTAAGTTCTAATGGAGTTAATATGAAAACAATCAGAAAAGACATTCTGAAAATATTATGCTTCAAGAACATGTAATTAATTGCTTTCCAGCATTGGCTGATTTGAAAGTAAGAAGAAACAGTTTATTGCAAGCTTTATGATATTTCCAGAAGACATTCCTATTCATTTTAATTCCGTTTGACTTTTTTTCATGGCAAAATGCTTTTAATTTTCTTTTCTCATGATTTTGACATGAAAATACTGAGGGTTAATGAAAATAATACTCAATTCCAACTATAAGGGGAGCTTTATGATTGTAGCCCATCAGTTTATTGTAAAACACACTGTTTTCTGAATTTCTTGCTCTTGTTCTTTCCTGGATTTATCTTTGACTTCCTTCTGGTAAATGTTTTGTTAAATACATAAATTATGAATATTTATATTGCAGAAAATTTCCAGATGAGGGCTATATTTCTCAGCTGCATTCATAGCTAAAACTCTGAAATTAAAAACTAGTCTTTGAGAAGGTTAGGCTTATCCAAAAGTAAGGAATGGAAGTACAGGTGTGGCTCAAGTGGTAGAATTCTAGCCTCAAGTGGAAAAAGCTGAGCAAGAGCACGCGAAGCCCTCAGTTCAAGCTGAAGTAGCAGCACAAATATGTCTTGTATATTTCTAATATATCTTGCATATTAGATATTCAACAACCAACCTATTATTGTCTTGTACTTCCTACGATTGTATGGATAAAGGAAAACTAAAAAATGTAGCAATTAAGTTAGGAACATGAAGGCAAATCTTCATGGGATCCAATTCTGGCAGCCAGTTATTATGAGAAACATAGGTAATTATAATTGTGCATCACATCAGCTATCTAAAATTAATTCCCATTTTAGAACTTTCATCTGGTAGAGTACTCTAATTAAACATTGAACTATATTTAGAACGGAGTATACTGTGTGATCAATACTGAATTGACTCTTAGCAGTCATAAAATTCAACATATCCTACAAAACTAAAAAATGGAGGGGATACATAGGGTTGGGAGGGATGAAGGAAAATGAGGGAAGGGGTAACATTGATCAAA